ACATCTACTCTCAGTGCTTCCTTTATCACTAGATACCAGGTCAGGATTCTACCTCTGTTCGGTATTAGAGGGAAGGATCGTAGGTCATTCATACTGAGCATGTATTTGCAATCTCTTGTTATGAGTTGCTTCACAAATAGAATGGACATTTTGGCTAACACAGATGAAAATTTCCTGTAGCTGTTTGGTATGATAGACTGTATCGAGGTAGAACTACCTAGTATACACCCTTGGATATGTCCAGGTGGAACTATCTTTATATCAAGTTTTTTTAAGTCACATAAAAGGCTCAGAATCCAATCTTTGAAGTATTTCAAGTTGTTAAAGGGCCAATCTCTTAAAGGGGACGATGGTAGCCATTCCTGTAGTTATATTTGCTGGAGTCATATGTGGGTAGTTCAGCCTAGTAGACCATTATCATTTACCGTGAATAGAAGTGCATCGCTGAGAGCCTGTGTGTGTTTATGGTGTAAATGAGTGATACTATAGAAAAGTTTGGAGTAAAACAAACATGATGGGATGTCTCTTGAAAGATGGAGTTTTTTCTTGAGGAAGGATCTAAAGGGTCTAATAATGCGGTCTAAAGCATTTTCAGAAAGATGCACGAGCTGCGTATGATATTCAACTCGTGGAATGATGACTACATTGTACGTATAAATGAATTGTTTGTCCATTAGCTTTTTATTAGTTAGTATTGTTATAGCGGCTTTCACATCTTGAACAGCCTGATTGACTGTAAAAGTCTTATTACATCTCAGCGAGATCCATACACTAAGGTATCGTACTAAGTTTTTTGGTTTGACTGAAGTTATTACATGTTCATGACTGCACACATTAGTGATAAGTGTCTGAGTGTCTGGCAAGTTTGTCAAAAGGTCAGATTTATCCCAGTTAACTTGTATACTGTTCAATTCATAAAAGCTATTCGCTATATCTATTATATTACTTAGATCTTCCTTTGATCAAGCAATCCAAAGTGTGTCGTCCATATATGCCAAGACTGATGTTTTACATTAGAGGTTGTCATAAGATTCAGTTTGTACATCTGGTTTTCACCTGACTGACATATCATATCCCAGGTCTGACGATTGTATCTTATATAAAAGTGGATCATAATAGATGCATCATAAAAGAGGCGAAATGATTTCTCTTTGGTCGATACCCGAGAATACTTTATATGTGTCTATATTACTGAAGGCCGTAAAAACTTGGTTCTTGAGAATAAAATATATGAATCCTTTGGGTAGTTTGAGTCTTTTCAAGGCTCTGACTAACATAAATACGTTAATCTGATCATAGGCTTTGGACATATCTTGTAAAAGGATCCACAACTCTTTTTTATTGATAAGTGCATTATGTTTAATATTATCGAAAATATGTAATGGTTCAAAGGTTGATCAAAATGGTAGACCTGCGAAGTTGTGTCCTTTTAGTATGCTGTGTTGAACGAAGATTGTTGAAAGGCGTCTGTTAATCAGTTTGATTAGAGCTTTCCTTGGGCATTTCAGGAGCGTGATAGGCTGAGTATTATTTAGGTCGTACTCCCATGGTTTAGGTTTGGGGATTAGGTATATGTATGCTAAGTTCTACCTATTCGGTAGCGATAAGATCTTTAAACAGCCACAAATAATGTGTCAAAAAAGTTTTTTGACGAGCGAGCCGAGGTGTTTTAACATTTCATTGTGGATCTTTGAGGGACCTGATGCTTTACCATTAGCTAAGGAGTTTATAATATTGTACCATTTATCTGCCGTGGGGGGTAACATTAAGAACCTATATATATTGGGGTCGATATTAAAAATCAGATTATAAATCGAGCTCCATTCCTCTGGTATCTCTTTGTTTTCATGGGTGGTGCCAGCCATCTTCTGAAAATGTTCAATTATGTTGAGTTTAACTTCACTTTCGTCCGTTAGCAAATCTTTGAAATTTCTTGATAGACAGCGGTCAAGTATTATGGTTTTTCTTGATTGATTTAAGGTAGAGTCTAACATTTTACTGGGTTGTATAGCGTAGTTTTCAAGTCATTAGTTGAGTGCTTGTTGAATTAATTGAAGTTTGTATTCCTTCTCGTGAAGTTTGGCTTTACAATGAACTATATTAATTAATAAATTAGTATCAGAGAGCAAAAGGTCAATAAAACTGAATGGATAGTCTAGAGTAGGGTGAGCGGTGACTAAGTTCAGTGAGTGCGTAATATTGATGTAGACATCATAAGAATGAGACCAAAAAATCGGGAAAGGTGTCCCATTTTTTATTGATCGTAACAACTTGTTGAATTGTGGAGTTCTTTTTGTTATACGTATAGTTTGGACAATCTAGGAGGTCGTGGATATTTAAATTGTCCTATTGATTTTCAGATAGGAATCGTCGATTCAGCAGCTTTAATCAGTAGGTCCTGGAACTGATCCCACTATTTGTTGAGCAATATTTGTGTCCAAAAAGTGTTAACGTTCACAGTTTTCAGTGAGCAGCCATTTAGGAATGCATCAAATTTAGCTCCAAATTTGCTCCATTTATGATCATCCATTTTGTTGAAGTCAAAACTAAGTTTTGCCTTTATTTTCCGTCTGTTAAATTTGATATCTAAGAAGTTAGCACACTTTGTCACGACTGGCAGGTGGTCTAATATATCTGAAGCTATCGGAATGGTATAGCAATCCAGTATGTTGACGGAAAGTTCCGTTAATGTCCATACGTAGTCAATTCTCGAGGTGCTTTGACTGTTTGTGTACGATAGAAAGCTGATTCTTTCACAGTCATATTTGAGGGTGAAGGCATCAAACATAAACATGCTAAGAAATGTGTCGAAATATTTGAGTGTGTTTGTTGGGTTGTGTTGTCGGTCTATATTAGCATTGAAATCTCCTAGAATAGCCACATGATAATCTAGGGATGAAGCTTCTTTGATCCATTTGGTAAGTATATTTTGGACTTCCTGTCTTGTTTTTAAATCTGCAGGTGGTAAATAACAGTTAATGACACGTAGTTTTTGTTTATTGGCAAATTGCAAATCTACGTAAATCAATTGATCTAGCTTTGTATCGTGTTTAAAAATATGATGAGCGATGTCTTTCTTTAATATGAGTCCAACTCCAAAGGCCGTTCTCTGTCTTGATGTTGAACTGAAAAATGAGATGTGGGAGGAATGAGTTAGATTGAAGTTTTTTGCATGTATTTGTTTAAAGTTAGTTTCTTGAAAGCCAATGATATCTATATTATATGCGGAATAAAGAGAGAGAAGAAAATGCTATTTAGCCGTATTTGTGAATGATCTGACATTGTGGGTAGCGAAGGTAAGATTTGGAATATTTATTGGAAATGTGAAATTATCATTATTTGAATATGTTGAAGCATTATTAGTATCTGTAGAGACAGTAATCATGATTATATGATTTTAAAATTGAGGAAGACTCTTTAGAGCCTTATCTGCAATTATGTCGTAGTTAGTGTTGAGGGTCAATATTTCTGCTGTTTTTCCTGTTGGTAATAAATTGTTTTGGACGAGAATCGAATGGAATGTATTACACGAATTTACTAAGCCATTTACTGTTTCTGTAAAATGCTTTAACCATAGATTTTGAGCGTTGTTAAGCTCTTTAAGTGCCTCAATAGTGCGTCATTGTTTATTGATAACTGAATTAGATGTATCTATAGCCGGAGTGTCATAGCCATACACCATATCTGAATCTTCCATACTTTTGTCTGAAGCTATAACCTTGATATTGAGGGTGTTTTCAATGGTGTCTATTCTTTTCATGACGGAACCCATAGCGATGGTAAAATCTTCGAGTTTTTGGGCCAACTGTTGGAAGCTGTCTTTAATAAATGTTTTGAAATCAGCCTCTTCATTAGATTTCTCATGCATGGAATCTCCAGCTTTTGTGCCAGTGGCTATATCACGTGATTCTATTAGAGTGAGTGTGTTATCGATAATATCCATATTCGGTGGGACGTCATCAGCCCAGAAAGGAAGTGGAGTATTATTCGAACCTCTTAACACAAAGGATCCATCTTCGTTGTTGGAAATACTAAAATTAGTTTTTGTTAGGGGTGAAGGTTTTTCTTCCTGTCTTCCTTTGATGATTCTGGCGAACGTCACATTCAGATTGACTGCTCCTCGTCTAGGGCAGGATGGAGCCTTGTAGTTATTGTATTGAACAGGCTGGAATCATTGGTATAGGTTCTGTGTATTTCTATCGTTGAGTGTTCTTCATTTTTTAGGATAGTCTTTTATTTTGTATTAGGGAGATGAACAGATGGTGCATAATTTCATTTTGTTACTTGTCCATTTTACCCGTTTACCGTTGATTGTGAGATTGTTATTACCGATTGCTACTTCGTGATCTTCTGCTAAAGCGAAGTAGAAAAAGGCATGTTGCAGGTTGTTGTAGTTGGATCTAACCTTAGGGATGATCCAGGTTGTTGCGTTGATCATTAATCCAAGATCGGATAGATCTTTGCCCATAGTATAATGTGGGAGACACGTGAGCTTGGCCAAATATTTTGATCATTCTAGTATTTGGTCTCTTGATAAGTCACACATATGGAATCGCACCATATCATTGAGGATGAAGACATCATGACCTTTTTGAAGTTCTGTAAAGTTGGCATCGTTATTGTATGTAATTGTGGCTTGTTGCCATAAGTTCTTTGTTTCCATTATGAACCTGACAATTTTTTCAAACCGGGAAAGATTTTCTTAATTCTAACTTCCGTTGTGTCCAATGGAATCTCTGTAACTTTGATTGATTGTTGTAGCATAAACGGATGTTTTGGTGTGATGTCAAGGGCAAAACGTGTGTTTTTCTAAATTAGGTAAGATGACATTATAGAATGCGTCCCTTTCGTCTTTGTCAGAAAATGTCACCTTAAGTATACTTTTTGATTGGTCTTCTGGATATTTGGCTAGGGTTATACCTGAGAATGAATCAAATCTATCAAACATCAGGTCTGTGACGTCAGATACTTTTGTTTAAGGGGATTTTTCAGGGTAGTCATCAGTTGGGAAGAAAGTAAAAAATTTCGTCTTTTTTGTGAAAATATCTTGAGGGCTCTTCTTGTTTAAAAAATTTTCAGAGACGTCGTTGGCGTTGTCGATGTTCATTTCACTTTGGTTAGTAGTGACAACTAAGGTTGTTTTACTTTGTAAAACTTCTTTGCCCTTTCCTTTATCGAGCGGAGAAGGGTCGACGTTCATAAGTGGAGTTTCGTTGTTGTTGTTGGTGGACATACTGCTTTCGGGTTCAACATTTTGTAAGGTGTTTTGTTTTTTCTTTGGTTGTTGCTCTGGAGTACCAGGGCGAGAGTGAGTTAGTTGTTTTTGTTGATTTTTATTGTTCTCTTTCTTTGGTCTTAGCATGGTAGCAGAAAGAGTTTTTTTCCGATTTTTGTGAAATCTTGAATAAAGTGTCAATAATAAAAGAAGAATCTTAATGCTATTCGTACTTCTTTTGAATTTCTTGGTATAGGTAAATCAATTATAGTTTGGATATTCCTCTAGTTAGGTTTAATTCTATTACTTCCTATAATATGACCTAAATAACTAACTTCGTTTACTACAAATGTACATTTCTCTAGTTTTATCTTTAATCCTGCTTCTTTCAATCTGGTGAAGACTTGTTACACATAATTACAATGATCTTGAAATATGGTTGAATAAATAATAATATTGTCTAGGTAATTGTACAGAATTTTCCAATTAATATATGTAAAACTCTATTCATTAATCTTTGAAAGATAGCAGATACGTTCTTTAAGCCAAAAAGTATCACTTTAAATTCATAAAGCCCTGAAGGTGTGATGAAAGCTATTTTTGCTTGATTATCTAGATGCATTTTTACTTGCCAATAACCGCTTGCTAAGTCTAAAGCAGTAAAGTATCATGCAGTTCTAAAGTTTTCTAATTGATCTTGCATTTTTGATATTGAATATAGGTCTGTGACTGTTACAGAATTTAATGGATGATAATCAATACATATTCTAAGATCTCCTGTCTTTTTAGGTACAATTACAATTGGAGAGGCCCATAGACTTTCTAAGGTTTGAATGATTCCTTTTTCTAACATTTTATCAATTTCCTTTTCCAAGAAATCTTTTCTCTTCTGATTTAATCGATATGAAGGGTGAGCGATAGGTCTTGTATTTGACTTTAATGGGATTTGATGATTAACAAATGGGATTTATTCAATATTAATTCCTCCAGTTGAAATAATTTCTTTTGGTATAAGTGCTTTAATTATTTCTTATTCTTCTGTTTCTCCTTCAATATCCATGCTATAAAGAGCAATAATTTCTTCTTCTTAATAAGACCATTCGATACGTTCTAATTCATCACTTTCTTCGGTTGAGTTAGAAAAAGAGTCTTCATCATTTTCTATTTGGAAAAAATCTGTCTCATATAGAGCTTCATTAATATGGGGTCTTTGCAATAGAAAGGGAGGAAACCAAAAAAATTAAAATTTTAGTTTATAAACTAAAAATGTTCTAAATACTATAATTTGTTTAGATTTATTATTAACTCATTTTTTATTTTTTTTTGAGTTTCCTCCCTTTCTATTACAAAGGCCTCATATATTCTTCTTTTTCGCTTTCTGCAATATTTGTTAAAATTCTGAAGAACGGTTTAGCTTTCTCAATGCATTTTATGAGGATTCAACTATTTAATCATAAATTTTAACTCTTAGTTTATCTTGGTTAAAATATATTCTTGCATCAAATACTTTAAACCAGTTTATTTCTAACAATAAGGTATCTTGGGTTGGCTCAATCATTTGTAAATCAACTGAGAATTTTGCTTCTTGCAAAATGAGAGAAATAAAGGTTATAATTTCCAATGATCTTTTATGTTTACCATCTGCGGTTACAACCAAAATATCAGAAGACTTATCCAGTTTAATGTTGAGTTTGGAGGTTAAGGATAGTTGAAATTATGCAGGCAGCTATACCTGAATCCAAAATAGTTTCAATTGGGTTTAATTTGAATCTCATAATACATCTAGCAGTGGTGTATTTATTATTATCAGTTACATGAGTTTGTATAATGTTTATTCTAAGTTCCATTTATTTTCAATTTTATTTATTTCATCTTTCACTTCTTGAAGGTACAAAGGATTTCTTAATAGTTGTCTGAAGGTAACATTGGCATTATGACGTTTAAAATCTATAATTATTCTATAAGGTTGGTCGTAATAAGATTTTACTGACATAAATTGAACAATTAGTTTTAGTGAATGAGGTAGGTCCTACTTTATTATTCTTGAGTAGACTCAGATTGTGGTAATATAATCTAAGTAGTTTATAGTAAAACTGATCTGGTAGTCATATAAGATTCTTGTTCAGTTTCAGCCTCTTCAGTTTCTGTCAAATTAACATTTCTTTGCTAAGAACCATTGTTATTTCGATTATTATTGTTAGATTAAAAATTAGATCAAAATTGAATTTGAGTTCATGGTTAAGCTCTAGTTATTGTTTCTGATTGACAATCTCTGATTATATATCCTTCCTCTCCACATTTCTAACATTCAAATTTCTTCTGCTCATAATTATGATAGTTTCTTTGATTTCGATTTTGATTATTTCAATTGTTTTGTCGATTTGTTTGTTGAACCTAAGTGTTAGCTAAATTTGCAGTTAGTTGAGAGACTTGTTATTGCAATAGCTCCATTTGATTTGCCATGACCTATTGCTGTTAAATGGGTTGAGCGATAATAAAACCTGTCTCAATTTCCTTAGCTTTGGTTATAACTGTGTCTAAATTATTTGGGCTGTATTCTATTACCATCATCATGATATGTGGAACTAATCCTTTGATAAATTTGCTAACAATATATTGTTATCCAAAGCCTTCTACAGGATCAACTCGTTGAATTGACATTTTGTATTTTTGAGCATAATCAGCTACACTTTATTTTAGCTATTAATGAATTAATTCTAAATCAGTTATCCATTTATTTTTTATAGTAGCATTAGCAAAGTAATTCAAGAAATGGTTAATGAAATTATAATGACTTCCTGGTAAAGCCTAATTCTGAAAGGTAGGTTGATTTTTATCATACTATTTAGCAGCAGCATCTCTTAAGTATTCTGTAACAATAGCTATTTTCCTATTATTATTCCATTGATTAGCTGTGACTGCTCGTTCAAAAGAAGCAAACCATTCATAAGGGTCTTCATTATCTATTCTATGAAAATAAGTAGGTTTAACTAAATTCAATTCTGCTCGATTTACTTGAACTACATTTTCTGCTGAATTAGAGTTTATAGCTTATAATGTTAAGGTCATTTGTTAAAGTAACTGCGTTATCTGAAAGTTATTATAACTAGCATGAGTATTAGATAAGTTGGTGTTGAATATAAGTTGGATAGTGCTAGACTGAGATGAAAGAATTTCAAATCTTGTGTTCCCTATATTGACTATATTAAAAGTATTAGATGTATTAGATTTCCATAGATATGTTTGATTATTATTTTATGCAGTATTGCTTCCAGTTCTAAATTCAGAAGAGAGGTTAGAGCTTCAGTATTTGTACTTGATGAAGGATTTATACTGGAAGGATTATTAGATTAAAAAGGATTAGAGATGTTTTCAGTTACTTTAAATATAACCTGCTTTGATTTAACTGCCTTAGAAGTATTGATAAGATTTTTAACAAAAATAAATGCAATGGTAGTTCCTAATTTTCTAATAGTCATTTGATTAAAGATATTTGAAGTATTTAGACTTGATTGGTATCCTCTATATTCTGAGAGGGTGAAATATTATAGAAACTCATGATCGAATTATTAATTTCTGGACCTTTATCTTTTAACTGAGGACTAATTATTTCAGTTGTAGTTTATAATGTTTCGTTACCACTGTATTTAAAATTTGAACTATTAATCAAGAGGTATACAGAATTATCTTTTTCTACGATTCTATTTACTTTAGCCTTAGTAAGGTTATATAAACTATTAAGATATACGTGACTGTTGTCTGATTTAATATCTAAATTAAGATTATCTAGAGTGATAGTCTCTTGAGAAAAAGTTTTGATAGTGTTAGATTAAGGTAACTGGGATCAGAGATGGCTAATTTCAGATTCTGTATCTATGTTTAATGGTCTTCCAGATATTCTTTCTGTATTTGTCAGGGTATTTGGAATATTTTTTATTCTAGTAAGTTATACAGAAGAGGTATAAGACCTTCTGTCTCTAAGTTTGTATGTCTGTTGAGATTGAGAATTGCCCAATTTTGACTAGTACTATCTTTCTTTGAAAGAATTACGTTTAATTCTTCTTGTAATAAATAATCATTATAGATAATTAAAGACTGTATTCACGTAACAAATGGAGAAAAATTATTTGTAAAACAATCAGTATCTATAAATACTGAAATTAATTAAGTAATCAGAGGTAATTCAGTTACAATAGGATTATATCTGTAACTTCAAGTTAAAATGCTAATCTGAGTAATAAGAATTCTAAAAAGATCACAATCGTTTGAATGTAAATTAAACTCAAGAATAGTTTGGTTAATAATAATAAAAAGGTCAAGAGTAATGCCGGTATATCTATATGCTTTGAATTAGAGCTAATACCAATTCCACAAATTTTCAAAGTTCTCTAGTTTTAGGTATAAAGAGTATAACAAGTTAAACAAGATAAATCTCTCTTAAGAAGTTCCTTTGAGTTAATCTCTGATTTGTGACTGAGATTGTGTAATTGGTTTTCTCATCTAAACTTACTTAAATTCACAATTCTTAACTTTTTTCAAAAGTTTTTATTTTCTAGTAGGAATCACCAAGTTGTCACTAAGTTCATTTTCGTTTATCTTAACGTCTAAGTTGAAAGACTGTGACAGTTGATCTACATGTTAGAATTTCTGACCTTAGGATTTTCTTTAAGTCCTATAGGTATCCGTTATACTTAAATCAACTCAGCAATTTAACATGTCTTAGAATTTAAGATATGTTAGTCGAACTCGTAATGATGAACTTAATAGCAAGTTAGTGTAGTATATCATAACAATTCTAAATAAAGAACAATGTTGAAGGGAAAATTAATTTGTATAGATTTAAATTGATTCCTTTATTTATAACTTGAAACTTGCAAAAGAGTTAATAAACTTGCAGAGGAGTTTATAAACTTACAACTAAGTTAATTTACAACTTAAGCAAAAAGCTATTCTATTTATACAAAATTAATTTTCTATGGCTAAATACTTGCCATGCTATAAATTAACTAAATATAGATATATGCTTTAATAAAAATATACTTAAATATAATAAAATAATAAAAATAATATAAACTATAAAAAATAATAAAAAGAAATAAAATAAGTTATAGATGTTAAAAAAATTACAGATAGAATAAAACAAACAG